TGCATATTACTTTTCATCTGGCTATGATCATTTTATACTGTACAGAGAAGTCTAAAATTATAACTCATATTACCAAACAGTAGCCAGAATCATTAATGTGCTGTAAACACATGAGAAAGCAGAACACACACTTATTCACCCTGCTGGAGAACACTAGCAATCCCTCATACGTGTCATAGCCCACTACGGAGCTGGTAGTGCCAGACAACACTGCTGGGCACAAGACCACCATTGTCCCACAAGATAAAGTGCGCTTGTGACCAAGGCAAGGCGGGGAGGACCAGATGCTGTGAAAAGATAAGGGAGTGTCAAAGAACAAAGCTTTTGGTGTTGTGTTGTTGTTTACAGTGAATTCATCAGTCAAATGTTTCTACAGACGTCACGACTGCGCATCGCTGATGGAGCATTTTACATCGTAGGTAAATGTCAGAGTGGGATGTCTTCCCTCTATCTTCTTCCTGCTTCAGAGTTAATTGACTACAAGTGTTCATTTGCCTGAAAGGAGCAGTCATTAAGGTTGAATAACAAAATTTAGCTTGGCAATAGAACAGTCAGGGATCAATAGGTTAATTCAATTGCCCCTGCATGTGGTGTATTGTATAGCAGGGCCATTTGAAGGCCTTTATGAGGGAGTCATGCAGTTTTAGTGTGCTTAAAAGTGCAGAGATAGCATGGATATTGGTCCATAAAGAGAGAAAGGAGCACTACTGAAAGCAATGAAATAAAAAAAGACCAAAGTTCAGTGCTGTGTGTTTGGTGACAACTAAGTTACAGATGAGTGAAAAGGAAGTCTGCCCTTGACTTGTTACAGTCAAACTGCTGTCATTGTAGTCAATAGGAGCTTTTAAGACACTGTAACAATGCATCATCATTTGTTTATGACAGGTTACATCAGGTACATTGTAAGTAGTCCATTACCCAGCCCATTTATAATTCATGTTTATCAATTTCTTTGGTGTAGTGGAGGCTTAAAGCAAGAGTGACTCAAGAAGAGACGCTCTCTTACTAACTGTGCACAGACATTTGGGGGGCCCAGTGTCACATCTTGCAAAGTGGGCAAGCATGTCTAGCTACGCCCCTGGATTGGCCCTTTGAAATGATTAAAACCAGCCCTTTTGCTAATATCTCTGTTGCTGAGTGAATGGGTTTTGTCTTAATTACAATGACAATTAATTGTTTACTGAGTGCAGATTACAGAAGAGGACAAATAAAAACAAAAAAATAACTGCTAAGCGGTTAGTTACACAGTCCTGTCTCATTAAACAGTTGAGTTCTTTTTCATTACGCCTTAGTAAAATTTAATTTACTGTCCTTAGTTCATGCTGGTAAGCTTAATCCTTCGCTGGAACAAATTGACACTTGGGCCTGTTTATACAAGCGTTTGCCCAATCTAACCTGAACAAATAGACTGAATCAATACAGAATTACAGGATATTTGCTTGACTGTTGAAAAGATCATTCCTCTGCCCTACATGTTGAGCATTTTATTGCCTGTGCATTAAAGGAGGCACTTATCAGCTGACAGATAACAGACAATCAGCACACTGCTGACACAATTCATGAGACCCGGTTAGCAGAAAGGACTGTCAAACAAAGGCTCCTGTAGGCAAACACACTCTTCAGCTGAGGATAACTGTAGGCAAAATCTGGGACAACCTCTCGGGAAAAGAAACCTGAAGAACAAAGAAAGTGTTGCATTTGAAAGAAGCTGACCACGCCTGGTTGCTCTGCTGACAGTTAGAGGGCATATACGCTTAACAGTTACACTATTTTCACTGCAAAGATGTGAAGTTAGCCTGTGAGTATATAATAAGGAATACTTAAAGGTAAAAAAAATAGGATGTCTGTGGAGCTTGTTTTATGCTCTCTCCTTAAACAGTGGTTTGGTCCTTCTAGAGCAATTAAGTCTGGACTGGTCTTTACGCAGCAGGCAGCCTCTGGCAGCTTCACAGACAGCTGCATTCTCCTCCTGGAGAGAATGCAAATACTACCTGTTTAACCAACAACCACCCTGACCATACTTATCTAGGAAAATTAAATACCATCAAGTCTCAGTGCGTGTGTGTGCGCATGCGTCTGTGTGTGTTTCTGCAAGTATATCTATGCATGTGTGTTAGGACACTTTATGTCACAATTCTCTCGATGGCTCCTCTTCCACTTCGCATTTCAAAGGAGGTTCAAACTAATTAGCTCAGGGTGGTGCTTGTCTGTTCGTCCCATAACAACCGCAGGTGATTGTTTCAACATCAGTGACAGTATGTAGTACACTCTATAATGTCCTCACCTATCCAAGGTAGCTACATAAAGTGGAACTAACCAAAGTTCCAAAGCGTGCATACTGTTAAATATTTTGGGGACCATCATAGTCCTTTATGTCATGAGGAATCCCAGAATGCATTCTTATCATCTTTACAACAGCCCCTTGTTCTAAATGTGTGTGAGAGAGAAAGCAGGACAAAGGAAGAGGTAGAGATACAGCACCTGAATGTTTCTAACGAATATGCTAAATTTATTATTCAGTGCATGTTTGTGTGACAGAGAAATAGAGATAAAAAGAGAGACTACTTTGAACCTAGACTATACCTGTTATCCTGCTCAGTGCTTTGACGGCGCGTTTCTTATGGAATGTGATTCATCTTTACATTTTTTCACCTGGGTATCAAAGTGTCAGCGTTTGTGTTCCCACTCCACAAACCAAAGCTATAGGTGAAATGAGAAAAAAGGAAACAGAGCGAGAACAACAACACCAAGAGGACAGATTGAATGAAGAGCAGCATACAAACAAGCATTGTCACTAATAGAGACTTTTATGAGCTCCAGACCTGCTGAAATGGAGTGGCGTGCGTGTGCGGCAGCTCTTATCGGCTCGCTGGCAGTAAGGGCGGGTGAGAGCTTCCACACTTGTGCTCTGTAAAAATGGTCTGATTCATTTTCCACATGAGAGGGTCTCACTGGGGCGGCATCAGACCAGTCAGTCCACACAGATTTATGTCCCATTAAAGCAGCAGGCCTCCTGACCGCTATGCCACCATAGGCTGGCTGCGAAGACATACTGCACCCTCATTCATGCTCGGTCACTACTCTCCATCACAGGCTAGCTTCCTCATTGTTCATCCCTTCATCAGTACCACTTTTACTGCCTCACATGAACTCCTCTCATAGTCTGTAATCCTACTATTCTTCACCTCACTCCCTTTGATACAAAGCGAGCTGTTTACTGTAACTATTCCCACCCATTGTTACATTAACACAGTTGTCACAAAGACTTTTTTGTTATTCTTTCATGTTACTGAAAGGATAACCCCTAAAGTCCCTCATCAGCACCTTAGGCAGACAACATTTTATATGGTCCAGGAAATGCTCCAGTACCATTATGAACATCTCTGATGGTGGTCAGTGGGGCATGTTGTTTTAGCCTAACAGTTTTACAATCAGATTAGCACCATTGCAGGCACACAGACTAATGGGTCTGTATTTTCAAGGCATCTTCAATCAGCTGTTTCCCTGGTGATTAATGCATCTTGTTCTCCTCTCTCTCATTTGCTAGCTTTGCAACTTAATCATCCCTGGGAGTGATACTGGAAGGAAAAATGGGGCAGAGTCTATGCTGCTTGCTGTCCCTAAGAATAGCTCACTGTTCATGAAAACCATGCCACAGCAATCTGAGCAAAGGCCCAGAAAAACATGAATGAATGAATGAATGAATGAATGAATGAATTAAATGGTATCTAGAATGCTCTGCTACCATAAATCACTTTAAACATTTCCTTGTTTGATAAATTAATATTACCACATGTGTAGGCATAAAACACAAAATACTTCACAACGTACCAAAACAAACAAGAAAAACAAGGGACTCCATGAAGTAACATTAATGTTAAATTCAATGCCACAGATTAACAAATACACTTGACACAAAGTAGACTCTGACACAAAACTGCTACTATGCCACTGTAAAGCCTGTTTGTCCAGTTGAAAGACAGGGGGGAAAAAAACAGGGTGTGCATCAACACCAGTGCAGAAGTATTTACTACAGCACTGCTGTGTGGCAGGTATCTGGGTTTATACACAGTAAAAGCAAACACAGAGGCTATTAGATCAGTCCACAGAGAGCTACTCAGTGTACGCTTATGAAATGGAGTGGCTGAGATGAGTAAGGTATCACCATTATGTGAAAGTTGCAGTTTGGTGTGAAGTCAGTTGGCCAGTAAAGCTGCACTCAACAGATAGTCTGGAAGAGACACAAAACCAACCTGCTGGCTTTCCTAGAGTACACTTTTGGCTTTAAAAAAACACATCCGTACACTCATGTAAATAACAGATATGTGCAATTTTTACTTTTCACTCATGTACATGGAATGAATTTTATCTATTGGGAAAAGAACATAATTGTGCTTTTCTTTCCCTTCCCATTTTTTTTCTTTGCTTTGTCCAAATGCTCAGGCATCACACAGCATGTGTCTGTTGTGTATCTACATGTCACGTTTGCTCCTTCAATCATCGTTTACTCTAGGAGGGGCCCTGTGTGAGGGTCCACTATCGTCACGATGCTGGGTGTGGTGACACATCCTTTCTCTCCGCCCCGAGGTGTTTGTGTAGCCCAAATAACGCGGGAATGTATGTGTTTGGGAACCGTCCTGTTTGATCATTCACAAATTGTATTAATTTATAATTAATCCCAATACTATTTCACTATCAGTGATACCTTATTATTCAATCAATCTGTTAAAAACAATAAAAAACCCACAACCCTCCTCCAGATTACGTTACAAGCAGCTGGCGATAGAAGTGAAAGCACATTGCACGATGCAAAATAGGATGGCGTGCGCGTTCGCGGAGCTCCTGCGCTGCGGCAGTTGCCAGGGGAGATAGGAGGGGAGGGGTTTTGATTGGTTGAAGTGGGCCTGTTGCCATGACGACGGCAAGGGGTTTGGTAGCGTTGCCGTGCGGTGTGTGATCTGCGCGCTGCGTGTATGGAGGAAGCAGCTGCTGATCTGATCTCTGACATTGTGTGAGACAGACATCTGAATAAACTGCGCACAGACGTGTCTTTAAACATACCGCACCGAGGCACGCCGTGCATGATTGTAAGTATTTGATCGTTTTCTTTTATTTTGTTTTTTAATTCACAGCAATGAAATTGTGTTCGGCAGACACGGATTGTGTTTCGGAACAAGCTAAAAGTAAATGTGGTCAAGTGACTTTGCTTAGAGCAGCCAGCATGGCAGATCAAGCGACAGCATGTGGCCACAGCTAGCTAATGTTAACGTTACTTCTCTCTGTTCTCCGGACTCGAAGCTCGAAGAGTGGAGAGGGATATTTACAGCACCGACGGATGGTTATCGTTAGATATATGAACATAGACCTGCTGTAATATTCTAGATAGTTAAAATGTTATGCTAACGCTAGCAGTAGATTTACCTTCACTGACCCACCGAGCGAACGCTAACGCTACTTTGTCTCACGCTTGTGCTGGGTGAGCTAACGTAGGTAACGTTACAGATAGTGAACTTACTCCAATTAAAAGCTAAACAAAATGTAACGAACTAAGCGGACATGAGATACTTCGTAACGACTCTTGTGTGTCGGGAAGTGTTGTGCAATTCTCTACGTCGTTACGTGTAACTTTGTATTCCTCATTGTGTTGCTGGTTGTGCCTGCTTGTGAATGTAGTCTTGAGACCGTGGTGTTTTAATGCCACAGTATCTCTAGCATTAGCTACAGAGCATATTAGTTTTCTTTGCTAACAGCGCTTTCAGTTTATCTTTTCCACTCGCTAAGTCCCAGTGTTTCATTTAATGTCTTTGGTCATCGCGTGGTTTCCCAAGTCGTAGTAGACAACGATATTAAATCAATTTTTGTTGGTGTTCGTTCAAGACACACATCTTCCCCTCTTACGTATAAATAGTTGAATATTTCATGGTATATATTGGCGATACCAGAGGTTGGGAGGCTACACTGGCTAGCTGAGCACATGATGTAATGGATTATCACAAGATTGTCCCAGATACAGAGTGCTCTACAAACAATGTCAGAGTGTAGGAAAAATATCTCTGTTTAATCCAGTTGGATAGAGTTTGTGTGTTGTTGTTATTGAGTACATCTTCATATACTTTGTTATTCCACGTGTCTGCCCTTGTAGTCTCTGTACCTGCTACCTGTCAGTGTGGTGTTTACTGGGCAGGACAAACCTCATCTAAATTTCAGTTGTGTGCACTGAGGTTTCTGTGTATGTTTGGAAAAAGTGATGGAAAAATATATTTTCCTTTTTTGAGGTTATGACATTAATATAGACTGACATTCCTTTCTTTCTTTTTACTTGACAGTTGTTAAAGCCCTGGTGGTAAATAGACGACAAAGACAACAGGAGCTTAAGGGACAGAAACAGACAAAAAGAAACAGATGTTGTCAGTTTGCCATTATTTTATTGCCAAGATCTCCCTGGTCATATTGTAGGTCAAACCATCTGTTGTCTTTGCTGTTGTTTGTGGTCATAGCATGTATCCACTCCTGTACATGTTGGTATGTACAGAAGGCTCTGAAGGGTAAGTACTTTTGCCTCCCAGAATAGAAGAGGGTCTGCTAACTTTACTGACATTCATTTCTATAAATAAGACTTGTCGTAAGCCAGTGATACAGTTATTGCTGACGTGAAATGGCTTGAATAACTACAAGGAACTGATATATTGTTAGTTGAGTTGAATTATCGTTAGTTGTCATAAGGTTATTTGAATTGCTTGAATAGGCCTCTAAGACACTGTTGTTACCACAGGTAGCTGTACTCTATGGTTTGATGTTCTTTTGTACCTCAGTAAGAGGTGAAGTCCAGGTGAAATAGGAGGCAGACTGCCAAGTGTTTGTGAATATTCTGTTCTTTTCTTATGGTCTGCTCAGAGTCAAATGCTTTAGCTGATGATAACTTGAAAATGAAATTTTCAACCAATCGACATTTCAATTGCTTACATGAGTCATAGTATCATTTGTTGTTTTTGTCATAATCCTGACGGTAAACCCTGGGGTATTGGCCTGCTTGTTCATTTCATTCAGTAATTTCATTAGATAAGATCAACTTGACTTTTTTGTTCTTATTTAACATTTTTCAAATGAGTAATGCCCAGGTAGTTACACACTTTAGTGTTGTGACTATAATAATAGAGGTTTCATTTCACATTATTGGGATATTTTACACCAGATGAGCACAGTAGTAGACACAAAAGTATCAAATACATCTTGAGCTTCTCTTAAACTCTTGAGAGTGCCACTCTTCATTTTTACAAGTTGGTAAACACACTGGTGTCACTTTTCTGAGAAGCTGCTCTTTTGTACTGTACTGGTGACAGAACGGGAGGATGCATGATAACAATGAAGCAATGTGACAAAAGAGACCACCAGAGCACCAAGCACTTTTATCAAGTGTATTTCAACACTTTATATCCTATGTTTTCCTGTTCAGTCATCACAACACCCTGAATATAATGTATAAACATTTTAATAAGGCAGCGGCTTGGCGAGAGTGGCACAGAAACTGCAGTTGAAAATGGTGGTGTTGCCATGTAATCAGTCTTATCACAGAATTGTGTACTCTGAACCAGAGTAAAGGATAAGTTGCGTCCTCTAAAATCCACCATGTTGTCTGTAGATATCTGAGTGACTGTGGTTTTAAATTCATTACAAAAGCTGACCCATGTGGAAACCTCTGTGATTGCTTAACACAGTCAAAACCTGGTTTCTCATGGATTGGCTGAACAGAAAAGATCAGAGATTTATAACTTGTTATTCTCTGAAAACCCAGTAATTACCAAGTCATTTGTGACTTTGATTTTACTTACTGGTTTAAATGGTTGGATTAGTGTAGAGGTTGAATAATTCGATGATTGTCAGAAGAGGGAAGTTGACAGTGTTCGTTCATTTGAGGTAACTGTTTTCCCATTATTATGTTGTTTTGTGTGAATTGTAGTGTTTCAAAGTTGAAAATAGTTTAAACAACATATGTTGTGAAGGAAATTAAAGTAAACAAGCTTTGCTACTCTTGTTTAAGTAGTATATATTTTTTAAATGATCAGCCAAAGAAAGTCTTTATATTCTGTTGTTTTTATAAAGAAGATGCTTATTTCCTTCTACCCCCAATTATGACGGCCTAGGTTGCTAAATGGAACAATCGCAGTCACCAGTCAGTGAGCTTCAGCTCTGACGGCTAATGTTGGTATGTCTAGCTTGTGGAGGTGACTCCCTCATGCAGTTTTGTGTTTCATCACCTGCTCACAGCCCATGTGTGTTTTTGAAGGAGGGACGTCCCCAGGAGTACGTGATCTTCTGTTGTCTCGGGTCTGTGACATTCTGCTGATCAAACAGAGGTGGTGACTGTGAATTTGAGATGCAAATGTAAAACGCCCTTAGAGACAAGTTGCTGCCTCCCTTCTTTAGTGTTCTCTGGTCATGATTTTGTTTTCCTGTCCTGTTCACATGATCAACTTATCTGTTTTTTTGTGATGTTTCACATCATTTAGCATCTCCCGAGAGATCAGGGCAGAACTAAATGGCATCTATTTTTAACCCATAAGCTTTCCACTTAACAGCTGTCACTATTTTACAAACTGGGGTGAACTTATTGTAGTTAATGTCATGACATCAATAAAGAGACAGAACTGGTTGAGATTTGGTTCTGCAAATCTAAAAATACCCAGTTTCCAGTTATTGTTTTTTATCTCTTGATTGGTCACAGTGATTATGTACTGTGACTGTGAATGTTTTGAGCTTCTATCTCAGTTTTTTCCTCTTCAAGCCTGCCCCTGTGTGTGTGCGAGAAGTTGCATATGGGCAATGTGTATATTCCTGTTGTGACGCCTCTCCCTCTACTCCAGTTATTGTTTTACATTTCTTGATTGGTCACAGTGGGTGTGCACTACCCCCTCCTTCTCTTCCCTGCCCCACTCTAACCCCCTGACTGTCCCTGTGCCTGCCTCATTTCTAATGGGGTGGACTCAAGACGCAGCCCATTAGGGCCCGCCTCATTGAAAGCAACACTGATGTGACCGTTTCCTTGATTGAGAGAAAGGAAGAGGGAAGCACGGCTGTGTGTCCTGTGACACAATGGGTCTTTGTCTTGTCACCCCTGGCTGAATTAACAGGATTTATTTAATTGACGACAGAATGACAACAACTACCAGCTTGTGTGCAGATGATCAGGATCTTCTTAGATATGGAGGAGGATTGTGTTGTCAGTTTACCAAAATTTTAGAACCAGCGTCATCTGAGGTGCCACGGAACGCAACCAACTGAGTGTTCAATTGTAAAACAATATCGTCGTTAGAACAGCACTGGTTAGGAGTTCGTAAACTCATGTATCATAAACTCATGTATCATACTCTGTTATTTGAATGAGAGTTAAATACTGGGCTCTGTACAGCTCAAAAGTACAAAGCTCCATTTACTAGAACATGTCTCGAGCTTTGGTATTTTTAAAAGTTTGGCATATTCATCAGATCACCATGGTGATTTATTGACAAAAAAAGAGTTTGTTGAGAAATTAAGCTAAAATGAAAGTAAACTTAATTTGAGCTGAGGCTGTAACAGATGTCATGCACTTGTATGGCACCAAAAATGTGAATTCATTCTTTATAAATTAAATAAATTGGGTGGTTCCTCTGATTTCACCTAGTTGCTGTATTTATTGCAACTAATTTGTAGAATGTTGTATGATTAAAGTTAATAGTGGGTATCTGATCTCACTTTTTTTGTAGCACTGCACATTAATGCTTTTCAAGGACCCATTTGTTTATATGAAAAAAAGGTTTTTGTAGAAAAAATATGTTTATACTCAAAAAACTGAGGTACTAAAATAAGGCAGCATTCTGGTTTTATATTCATACTAAATAAGAAAAAAATAAATTGTACACAGTCCTAATAACACTGTAAGAGAGTTACACCAAAAAGCTTTTTGTATCTTGTTATCCAAAAAAATTAATATTTATTGAAACTGCTCATGTTGCATGACCAAAATACATAGCCAACCCTTCACTGCTGCCAGAGGAAGACTTGTTGCCTGTCCTCATGTTATATCACTGCTACTTACTGCATGTATGCATTTTTGTTGATTTTTACTCACTTCAGAAGCCTCAGTAAATATTTCACCCCAGTTTCACAAAGCAAAGTACTTCCCCCTGTCTTCATGCTGCTCTCTCTAGGTTTTTGTGGAAGCTGTTGGACAAAAATACTTATGATGGAGTTTGTTTTAATTCAGGATGCAGGGCCTCACTGGTGGTTCCTGTGTTTCTTGTAGTATCTACATGGAATGTAATCTCTCAAAGAGCACATTCCTGTAAGGGCTTATGTTGAAACTTCAACTAAGCTCCAGAAATATATATTATTCATTTATTAGGATTTATTTGGACAGTAGTGTACAGAAGCAAATTGGCAATTAGGGCTGATCTTTGGTATTTGAAAGTATATGAGGTTGTTGCTTATGTTGATTGGCGGTGTTTGTTTGTACACTAAACTTACAGCCACATGACCCAAGAGATAAGGTTTCAGTGTTGGCTGGGGGAAGGCATGTACTTTGGAAGGCCTCACCTCTGTTGACAGTCAAAGTGCAGTACTGTGTGCCTGAGTTTGAAAACTCTGTGTGAAGCTAATGTCTCCGATGAACACCGCAATCATTACCCATTGTTTTGTTTGCTTGTTTTTCCCTAACTGTTAGGTGATTGCATCAGCTTGGGTGTTTGTCAGCAGTCTATAAGCTACATGCTGGTGGAATTCATAGATTGCCAAAGTAAATACTGCCGCTTCAATAAATGCCACCTCGCTGCTCGAGTCCACTGTTTTGGTGTAGAACGAGCCTAACTGTCTCTGTGTGAAGTCTGAATTTGTTTTCTGAGAATGAACTTCCTCAACAGGCAGGAGGTGTTTCCTTCCCTCCCGGTCCTCTGTTTGAAACTGTGAGGTGAATACTGAACACTTCTGAAACATGACTAGAGCAAAAACAACTGCTCCTTTGTACGAGCTGAGTGTGGGGCCAATTGTGATGCTTTGTGCGAGCTTTTTCTTTTGCTTTCACCTTGGACACCGAGTAGGTCGTTTTAATCCATTGAGTAGTTTTATTTAAAAATGAATCCTTTGGATGAGCTTTAACAGTAGCCTGATTAGCCTTCACAATAATGGCTGCTTTATTTGTTATGGCATAATTTGACCCTCCCATAAAAATAAAAGACTGCTACTTGGCTACCTTGCTCTGGAACAGCCTCTTTCTCTCTCTCCCTGTCTCTCCCACTCTAACTCAGCCCCCCTTTGTCTCATTCACAGTTTTAGAGCTCCAGCCAGACTGGGTAGTCACCTAAATATCAGTTAGGGTTTCAAATAACAGCCCTTGCCATGGGGCTGTGCGACACACCTTTGTGTATCTATTACAGAGGTGTAACTGGTTTGTGTCAACTGGTTTATTTCTTGTGAGGAGGGTGTGGTGTGAGTACGTCAAGGCAGTTGCATAAATTATCTCTAGAGTTTTGTTCTGAAATCTTGTTCTGTTTATTACATGGAAATGGTGTAATCTTTTTAATTTTGCTTGATAAAAAAGGTTTTTGGTGCCTGGGGCACGTATCATAAAAGTATGCCTTAATGGCACTCATTCAGTCGTGCCATGACGTCCAGGTTGGCTGTGGCCTTTCTCACTGCTCTTTGTCAGACAGGTTTGTGGAGAACAGCAGCAGACTGCTGGCCTCAGCATTTTCCGCCTGTATTGATCTCCCCACATTAGCTCTCTCTTCATGCACAGACATGAGCACAATTGCTTCCCTTACAACATTGGCTGCCGTGGCAACTGAGTCCTGATCGTGAGATTCGCTCCCAGAAAACATCTCAAACCAGAACCTCTTCATTTTGATGCCGCTATCATCTCCTTTACATTCCCCCGTACAAATATGACACATCAACGGCTTGATTTGCCACTTAAAGCTATCTCCATATGTCTTTGTGTATTTTTGAATAGGCTAAGTGCTTAACAGGATAAAAGAGCAGTTTGAAAGGGGGGGAAATGTGCCTTGGCACCTGCTGTTAGTGCCTGCCTGTTTGCACATGAATATGATGAGGCTGGCGGTGCGCTGGGCTATTTTAACTTGCAGATGAGCCATCAGGTCAGTACCATTGCAGCTTTGGTGTATTTTCAAGGATGAGTTGCAGTCAACAGGCCAGTCCGGCTTATTAGCTCCCTCTCCCCGCTCCTCTCTTTGCACACTAGCGTCCCATTATTCATCGCATTCCCAGCCGCCTCTCTTTGATGCCTTTTCATAAGAGCAATGATAACTGCGATCATTGCAACAGCAGTGGTAATTGACCAGCTGCAATCATGGTAAAACACTTCCTGTGTTTGGCTTGATGCAAGGCAGCTCTCTCATCCGTCCACCCCGCCTCTGTTGATATTCAAATGATGGGTCTTCTGGAGGAACTACTCAAAAGAGGATAAGCGCTCTCTGGCACCCAAGGGCCCAGCTGAGAGGTCAGGACTGTGGAGATGGACTAAGGTGAAGCTCTCTTGTGCTTTCGAGGTTAATCAGTAGTCTGACTCTTTACCCAGGCCATGACCTCTTTTCATTGCCCAGCCTCAAAAGTTCACAGGCAGTCATATGACCACACCTTTTAGTCAAATGAAGACTTGATTCAGTTAAGGCCACACCTGTGTTAGCTTGTGGTTCATTGTGAGTTACATGTTCGTCATGGGGATGCATTGGGTAACACAGTGATGGATCTAGACTTGACTCACAATCTCACAAAGAACAGCCCAAATTAGGGCTTCATAGTCTGTCTGTCAGCTACATTATCTTCCATTTAACTATATCTTGAACCAGCCCACCCACCCTCGCTCACCCTGTCTGTCTTTCTCCCATCGGCACAAATATATTAACGCTTTGTAAAAATCTGCTGCTAACTGTACCTAAACATGGAATTATAAAAGGGCACACACAGCTACATATAGTCCGAAATGGTTTTCGGAAGGAGAAATGACAATTTCCTCCAAAACTGTAGACTTGTCTTTCTGCTTGGTCCCCTCTCTATTTGTAAATTCATTCAGAGTATGAAGCTGTCAAGGAATATCTTTTTGTGTTTTGGTCTCTTGAGCAGAGATTTTCTTTAAACACAAATGGGCAGTTCTCTCGCTGCCTGACATTTCTCATTGCTCCACTTTGCTGAGAGCTGTGATTCATCCTAGACTAAGGATAACTTACATAGCCTACCTCACTACCTATTGAGTCTCAGCTGTCTCTCTATCTCTCTCTGTCTTCCTCTCAGTCTCTTGGTTTCTCTTTCAGTGTTTTTGTCTTGCTCTCCTTCCGTGAAAAGGATTTCCCTATTGTTATGTGTCTTCCTATGTTTGCTGTGCCTGTCCCTTTGCATTTGGCCTGGAAAGCTCTTTGACTTACTTTCTTTTCACTGGTGATCAGAATTACAGACCTACATGTGGTAGACAAGGACATTTCAATGGTGCGCTGACAAATTGAAACACAGACAATTAGAGGATTGAATGGGAGAACACCATGTCACCTAAGAACAGTCAGAAAGTATGCATTTAAGGCTGAAGTGATCATGACCCTAGATTTAGAAGTCACTCTGTCGGCCTGCTGTATGCGTCTCCCCCTCATTGAGACTTGGTCATTTTGTAAATCCCCCTCCTGTCCTCGCTGACTGGCTTTGACAAACTGATTTGTGGTGTGTGTGTCTGTGTGTGTGTGTGTGCGCGCGCACACTCCTTCTCCTGTCTTGCCCACCGTGCAAACACTCATGAGTTTGACCCAATTCTTATCTTATCCCAGAAATGAAAAGATATGCCTATTTCCCGCACTCTCTGCGCCTATACCTATCCAACCTACCAAACCCTTACTCTCTTCTCAGTCTGGATCCAGAGAATCCAGGACCACCCCAGAACCCGGGACATCTGGTGTCCACACACGGGTGCAGCAGGAGTATTCTGTTACGGGGTGGCTGCCCAGCGGCCCAGCCAGCATGGATTACTTATTTTCCTACTGACTCTTGTTTGTGGGATTTCTGCTCTTAATTGAAGGGACCGAATGGTTGTCATGGTGACACCCAGGACATAAAGCTCGTTGTGAGCTGAGCCAAAGAGTGATCTCTTTGTGCTTTTGGCCTCACAAAGTACTGTGCAAGACCATAGCAAAAAAGCTGTAATAGTGCAGGTGTCTTTGGCAATTTCAGGTGATACCTGGACATATCTCCCTTTCTGTCTGTGCCAGTATTTAGAATCATTTCTCTTTGTATAACTTGGTACATTAGGTGGAACTAAAACTTCTCCAACAGTGCTGTTGTATTAGATGACATGCTCCACCTGAGCTCATGTAAAAAAAAAAAAAGTGCCATTGTCTTATTAAAAAGGGTACTTGGGTGGAATTGGTTAATGATACAGGGCTGCTGGCAATATTGAATTTCCTAGTGCTGTTAAATGACAACTTCAGGGGCTGTAGCCTCTTCACTCTACTTTGTGTGTGACAAATGAGTCTTGATCCTGGCTGAATGCAGATCAGTCAGTAAGAGCCATCCACTCTGTAAGACGGAGGCCTTCCACTCATTCCTGCAGTTGTTGGATGGTTTCATGCTCATTTACACATAACGAGCAGCTGGGTCTTGTCTCAAACGAGGTGGGCGTCGAGGAGTGGAGCCTTAAGTCGGTTCAGTTGCTTGAGAGGACCTCCTCAAAGCTCCTCGGCTGGAGTCAAGAGGGGGGGGGTGAGCCTCTCTGTCCTCGCCAGGCGTGGAGGAGAGGGGCAATGAGCAGGTCAGGAAATGCAATAGAGGCAGACAGGCACAGCTACAGGGGGTGTGCCCTCAGGGGAAACTTAAGAAAACAAGGCCAACGCTTGGAAGAGCACATCATTCCAATGTGCCACATCCAGTTATTTCATTACAACTTTGTTTTGAAATCAAGTCGACATCAAAACTGTGATTTTATCTCTGTGTGTAAGCTGCTCAACATTAACAACCTCTCTTTCTCCCCCTCTCTCTCTCTCTCCAGACCTCTTTGATTTAATGGGTCCAATCATTGGGATGTCACCAGATAAGAAAACGGAAATTCCGGGTATGCAAGAGGAGCGGACGGGGCTCAGAGGTGTTTGTGGAGTAGGAACACTGCCTGAGGCGGAGTGTGCGTCCAGTCCGCTGGCAACCAGCGTGGATCGCACTGGAGGTACAGAAGATGAGGAGCTCACCAACCTCAACTGGCTCCACGAGAACCTGCTTCAGAACTTCACCTTGGGGGGTCCTGAAGCTCAGCCCAGTGGCAGCCCCCTTTTCGACATAGAGGGAGACTACGGGCCCGGCCAGGGCCCCTCATCCTCCTCCTCATCCTCGTCGCACAGCAGAGGCAGGGAGCGGGACTCGTTGAAGTCTAAGCCCCCTTTCTCATTTTCTCTGCTCATCTACATGGCCATTGAGCAGTCTCCCAGCAAGTCTTTGCCTGTTAAAGAAATCTATGGCTGGATTCTTGAGCACTTCCCTTATTTCTCCAATGCTCCCACTGGATGGAAGAACTCAGTTCGTCACAACTTGTCCCTGAACAAATGCTTCCGCAAGGTTGAAAGGAGTTTGGGAAAGGTAGGTTTGCAAACTGTGTCCTAACTTTCATACACTTAACTGCACAGTTGAAAAGTATGCCTCTTGAAACTGTCGTCATCAATATGCATTGATGATATGATATGCAAATTTCCATAGGTCAAAATCTGTCTGCTTTGTTTAGCAAAACAGTGACAGTGTAAGAGTGTGAAGCTGCAGTGTGGCTCGTGTGACAGTGGCCGGGACTGTAACACCACTGCAGGAACCTCTGACTCTGCTGCGATAAGGGTGGAATCCAGTCAAGGTCACAGATACTCCGTCAGAGGAAATGCAAACACAGCACACTAAGATAGGACTTTATCTCCTGAACCACTACAAGGTAGTGCAACTGTTTTAGCCGAGGAGAGATGCATCCCACAGTTTGAAACCTCAATGTCATGCAGCGAGAAGGAAGCAAACGTGACATAAAGTACAGACATGAGTTTGTAGGAGGAATCTTTGTCAGTCTAGTTCTGCCAGAATTATGTTTTACACATGCTCAATTGTATTTGTGTTCCTTTTTATAGAAAGGAAAACAAAATGGAGAAGTTGGCCTTCTCATATGCACATGCTTTCGACTAATGGTTAAACACATGCTGCATATCCTGCACAAACATTCTTGTGAAATAAATAGGATATGAGTAAAACGTTTGTTGTGAAATTGTGAATTTACTTTCTTATGGTTGCATTTCCATGTAGCTTTCCAGCCTTTTTGTGTGGAAACAATGTGGTGAGGAGCAGAAAAGGGAGGAAGTGCTTGTTTGAAGACATGACTGGCTTTAAAGCCCCTGGTTTCAAATGTTATGTATTTCTATTTAACATTGATATTCATGATTGAATAAGATAACACTCAAAGTTAAACCTTTTTTTTTTTTAATATATATATATATATATGAAGAGTTTAATACTCAGCTAATCTGCTTTATCAGGACTGTGGGGGTGTGGTTTGATGATATTTGAGTGATAGTATCATAAACAAACACCTCCAGGAGTACCTGTGTCAGACCTACACAGCAACCTAATTTGCATGTTACTATAACTGATCCGGGGAGTGACACGATGGTAGCCATATTGAGCTTCAGTGTGAGTTCAGACTTGTGACCGGCAGAGCCCGTGGTGCCAAGGCTGTGCCTGGCGAAGACCCGATATTTTGCCACAACGGGAGGGGATGGTGGTTAGCACTCGGTGAGTGGCAACATGGTGCGGCGCAGGCCGCTCAGCGTGCAGGTGCACAGCGTGAGCCCTTCGTCTGCTGAGAGACCAGCACCAGTTTCACATGACACACTGGCTGGTGGTTTCCGTTACCATGGAGACATTTCCTTCTTCCTGCATCAGGGCTGGTTGGTAATCTGAGTCAAGGTTATTCTCCTCCCCTCCCCTCCCTCCCGCACTCCCTCACTCCCTCACTCTATTCTCCTCCCAGACTGGGCAAGAATACGCCGCCATCAGATAAAGTGACAGTTAACACACTCCCGCACACATCACCAACAGACAAATTCATTCGTCGCACAGTGCTGTGGAGCAATTATTTCCTTCTTCAGTTGAAGCTGTTAAGGAATTCTTTCATATGCATTTGCTATTTTCCACTGTTTTGTTTACGACATAGTGATCCTCTCACAACTATTTCTTTGAAGTTTTTCCTTTTTGTGCAAAATGAATGAGAACGACTTGCATTAATGAAATGTGACACATCACTATGCTGACTTCAGTGCGTCACAGATTTTGTCAGTGGAGAGAATTTTCTGAATGCAAGCCCTTCCACAAAAAAACCCCAAAACCATCTGTGCATCATTTTGACGGATTTAAAAATAGAATTTTGCCACAAGGAGTTTATTTTTTTTAAATATTAAAACAATGAGAATATCTTGTGTAAAAGGTGCTGTGAAGGTTATTGTTGAAAAAGAGTTTGCATAGAGGTGAGAAGTGTAGGAGTGCACTCAAAAGATAGTGAGAAAAATTGCAAGCTAGCAGCGTGAATATAAACAATGCAGGATTCAACATAATCAAAAATTCTGCTTTGCCATTGTATTATATGTTATAAACACTGTACTTAAACATGACTTTTGTTTGTTTACAAGAAAACTCTTGGATTTTGTTTAAATATAATCAGAGAACCAATGAGAATAATTTCTGGTGGAACTTATGGCTGCTCTTTAACACATTTGTTTAATGATCAGGAATCAAGAAAAGGATATACAAACTTCTAGATTTAACGTAAATCAAATTCCTTTCACAGTTTGTTGCCACAAGTTTCTTACTTTGGGTGCAGACGTTTGACTGTCCCTCTTTCCCACAGGCCAATGGAAAAGGTTCTCTGTGGTGTGTGGACCCCGAGTACCGCCCCAACCTGATCCAAGCCCTTAAGAAGCAGCACTTCCCTGCCGCACATGCCTTCTGCACACCACCCGCCTCCCCACCCAGGTAAACCCCCATCAGTCAGTGAATTATCAACTTGTATTGGCACATCAGCTCTGTCTGTATTCAAATATTATTATTGTATTAAAATTTTTATTATTGTATTTAAATTTTAGTGAAAAGGGTTTCTGTTTTATTCTGGTGGCCTGTATTTCTCTTAATTTGACATTTAGTTCCTTGAAATAACTGAAAGATCTGGATTTTCTTTACTGTTCCTTTGCGAACGCGACATCTGACCCTTCTTGTCTTTTGTTTACCTTCCACAGTGCCTCCTCACCCCCTCGCCATCTCTTTCTACAAGGCTGCTCATTCAAAGGTGAGACATGTCTGTTTTTAAATTTGGATGTACAATAAAAGCTGCCTGCCGTGCAAGAATCTGCAGATGTCTAGAAAATCCAATCAGTGCAGTTTTTTTTTAGCTTGTGTTTGTGCAGTATTTTGATTGTGTTGCCGTTGCACATTTCAGTCCCAGAACATTCAGCATCACTGTGCTTTTTACCTTCAACTCTTGGTTTGATTTGTTGCTTTCAAGTCATTGATGCCTCATGTAGACCATAATGTTGAAAACTCCCAGTTGACGTCTCAGCCTCCTCTCTCCCCCCTCTGCCTCTTGGATTTGTAACCTTGACGACAGGCAGAGGTTCTGCCGGTGCTGAGTGTCGTGCACTCAGTCGCACTGTAATCATTAATAATTTAGAGCCCCAGAAGTGAGCTATGAGGCTTTTAGACACTTTGTCAGGTCTGAAAAGATCGGATGCACTCTCAATATCAGTGGCTAGAAATGATCCTCTGGTTTGTTTTGGTGAATCTGCATACCCAGTCCATTCAGTAAACACTGTCTCTAGTTTAAAATTACTGAAGGAGCCCTGTCCTCCCAGTCCTAGTATAGATGCCATGCTACCATGCTTTCACACCTTAGGACTGACCATCGTGCATGTTCTCTCCTCTTCCAGAGTCTGACATTGATGCTGCCACTGCCATGATGCTCTTAAACTCTGCCCCCGGGCACCACGTTGACCCATGTAAGAGAATCCACAAGCAGCCATACTTTCACCTGTTCTTCCACCTCTTTGTGTCCTACCCCTGACATACCACCCTGTCATTGCTTAAATCTTCTTTTATTTTGTGTGCTTTTATTTGTTATGTCTACGTCACCCGTTCTTATAAGCAAAACCTTGGTTCTTGAGCAGGAAAAGTTTCAAGAACATTACTTGTACTTGATTGCAAACAATTTTTCCTGTATAAATTCTTTCAAACACGTATTGAAGGAATAGTTTGACATTTGGGAAATACTACAGTTAGCAGCTGGTTAGCTTATCTTAGCACAAAGAAGGAGATGGGGAAACAGCTTGCCTGGCTCTGTGCAAAGGTGAAGAAATCCACCTAGCTATAAAGCTCACTACGTAACATGTCATATGATGTTTTTTTTTAATCTGTACAAAACCTGAAGTCTTACAACAATTCTCTGTTTTACGGGGGCGGGGTTACTTGCCTGACAGGAAGTTACTTGTCCAAAAAATCTCATCTAACTAAGTATATCCCAACATGCTGAACTTTATCCTGCGATTGATTCTAAAATGTTTTTAGAGAATATTACGGCAGCTAAAGGCAGTCTCAGAGAGTGTTGTGAAAGTACATGATCTTTCTACATGGTAAATTGTTAATTTCATGTGTTTTTAGACTTAAGATGTTTTTTAAATCAAAGTTATGTTATTGCTGTTATCGCTTACACTTCAGATGAGATTAGACTTTATTTAGCCTGTACTTAGTTCATTTGCTTCATTGTCTGCAGAAGCCCCCTGAAGACCATTTAGTGTGAGTGGGTTCTGCTAATATTTGTACTTTCCTCATCCGTGTTGATTCTGCTTTAACATGCATGCAGCAAGATATTTTTAAATCAGGTTTTCCCATTTGGGCCAAGGCTGATCTTAGTTCTGCTTTATACTATAAACAAAACAGGCTAAAGCCACAGTGTGTAGCGCACTGTGTCTGATTTCTGCTTTTTCTGCAGGAGAAAAACAATATTTTACTGTGCAGTTACATTAGGATTCACCTACTGTCAGTCACAACCTGCTTTAGGGCAATTAAAGTAAGACACTTACCCCGCTTTAGTCTGCTAAATTTGTTTTGTTTTGACTATATTGGTCATGCACTAACAAGCCTCGAAGAAAACTTTTACATTTGAATGCGGATTAATCACTCTGTCCATCTTCTGCTCTCCTCAGGCAATTCTGACAGCCCACTGGACCTCTCCAGACCTGACTCCGTTCTGGTGAGCAGTGATCCAAAGCAGGACCACAATTACAGCAGCGTAGCTCTACAGCGCTGCTCTTCCCGCTCGTCCTCCTCGTCTCTTTCCTCCCTGGACGAAGGAGGCTGCGACCGCAGGCAGTCCCGCCGCGCCGGCAGCGAGGGCTTCCACAGCGACGAGGACTCCGACCTCTGGGACGAAAGGGGCGTCCACCAGACTTCTAGACGTCCACCCGCCATCAAGTGGCCTGCAGGCAAGAGGGCGCGACGTGAGGTCAAGCCAGAGTTGGATGAGGAGCTGAAGGAAGCCGCTGGCTCCTTGCTGCACCTTGCTGGTATACGCAGCTGCACGGAGGGCTCCAAACGTACTGTCAAGAGCACAAAACTTAACAGGAAATGAAGATTTTTTTTTTTTTTGTCCCCCATCAGACTCCGGACCCTGTGAACCCTAACCTCTGACCCCTGATCGTCTGTCCCAGTGTGCCTCCTTCTCCTTATCTGATCGTTCATTGGCCATTTTGAGCCTTTTCTTTTTGTTTGGGAATATCCCTGTCCAACAACACAAATGGCAATAGTATCGTTCACACAGGAGAACAAAGCCATATAGAGACTTTTGTAACTCGGGGGTAACTGCTGGGGGTGGGTGTTTGGGCTATGGAGAACCATTAAGATACCTATCCAAAATGACCTGCCTGCTTCTGTTGGATTGGGAGATTATGATTCAAGAATTTTTTTTTTTTTTTTCTCTGAAAGACAAAATGGGAAAAGCTGAAGGTTTTATAACTCAAAGCGTTGCATGCTTCCTCCTCAAACCTGTATCCTCTTCCAAGTGAATCTATTTATGAAGCGAATGAGTGCATGTTTGTAACAGACAAAATCTAACCTCCTGGTGTTATCAGTTCTCCTTTTTGTGCTAAAGAAGAAAATGCCACTGTTTTGAAAGGAATTCTTGCTCCATTAATCCTCTTGTAAGAGAGATGCAATAATTAATCCACAACCTTTAGACATTTATTTCATGGTGGCGTTTTTCAGAGTTGAGTATGCTAGTTAAACTTTACAATTAAGAGAATGAATGGAGTAGTATTATGATCTTGTTTTGCGATAAACTTATTACACACGAGCTCTGACTCTATTTCAGGATTAGCAAGATGTGGAAATAGTATTACTCTGCCACTGCCAAATTTAGTTGCAAAGTTAGCTATACTACTTTGCTCACATCTGTATGGCCATTACTGTGCCATATAAACGAAAGCTGTTTTCATTTCTTTTCTTTTTTCTTTTTTTAATCCACTGCTCATCCTGTCAGTCCCCTTCATTCATCAGTGTGTTTTTTGACATTTATTGTGCAGATACAGAACATATATTCACATGTTTGGTGACGGCCTATGCAAAGTGAACATCTGCCATGCATTGCCAGATGTTCACTGTGTGTTCATAGGTAATCCTCCATAGATTTTTATTTTATTTTTGTGGGGGTGTGTGTGTGTGTGTGCGCGCGCGCGTGTGTGTGTGTGTATCATAGTGCATGTCGACTTCAGCCTAAACCTGAGATGACGGTCACGACAAAAAAAAAAAAAAAAAAAGACTTTGAAATGGTGAGACTACTTTCTTCTGCTGACAAAGTAGTCATTCTACTCTTGAATACGATTGGTGTACTGACAGATCTCCTCGCTACAGCTGTTAGTGTAGGGCTGCTTTGTAATCTGCTTGCTTCTGGTCCTTTTGAATGCAGAGCTGGTTAATGGTCAGAAGCAGGAGTGGACAGTTAATTACAACAGCTTCTTGCTCCATTATTTGGGTTTTCAGTTTGATTATACCTCTGTGTGTTCTCCTTGATTTTAAAAGTCTTTTTGTTTTTTTGTTTTTTTTTAAGTTTTAGCTAATTTTCTGCTGGCTGATCCTGTGGCCTAGTTCACTAACAATTTGAGGGAAGGTGTGTCTGTTTTGGTTCAAATAAATGAAAGATCCAGACATTAGAGCATATTCAAGTGCAAAGAAGGAGAAGGGAACAAGACAGTAATGGCCAGAGAGAAGTGAACTTTGTATGTGTAAGCGCTCACAGGCGAGATGGTGAAGACCTGTGCTGCTGCTCATATGTCGTGCCCTCGGTTCTGGCTGGCCACTGGTGTTTTTCGTTCTTCCTTCTAGAACAAAATCAGGAAGTGCACGATCTCTTCTCAAGCTGTGAAATGGAGTGTTTATTGCCAGTTGATTGCATGCAGTTCACTGAGGGGAAGTTGCGAGCCACTTGTGTAAAAAGGCCAATATTCTCATTTGAACTTTTAAAAAGGCTGCACACTCGCAGCGCACAATACAACGTAGCATGGAACCGCACAAGGCTAACAAACTGAAAATGATATAATTTCTTCCCACTGTACTAGATCACATTGTGTCACAGTGACTGTTAGTATAGCACGCATGCTCAGTGCCAAACATTTTCTTGTGCCACTGATGTAAAACTGCAAAGGGCCATAGTCACTATATTCCCCTGCTGCCACAATGTAAATGTGATTTAGAGCGACAATGCCCTAGTTTTCTGAATCATCCCTAACAGGAAATGGGAGAGGACTCTGGTCAGTACAGTGACTTAACCAATCATTTTGGTCTATCTTTAGAGCGGGAACTGTTCTTACCAGAGTAAGCTTCAGTTCTCAGAAGTAATACTTGCATACACTGGTCTTGTTTAGCTGTGAAAAAAAAGAACAAATTATTGTTCATTAATCATCATCTTATTTATGACATTAATTTATGGGATTATTGAATGCATACTCTATCAAACACTGGTCATTTGAAAGAAGTGACTGGGCACATTTATTTTTCTCCCTCTGTGAACTCCTCTTAATAAGTATTTTTGTTTTCCTCCTTGTTTATTTTACAGCAATACATTTTTTTTCCTTTCACTATGTTATAGTGATTAAGTATGCCAATATCTATTGTCTTTAGAGCGGGTGTTTTTTTTTTTTTTTTGTTTTGTTTTTTTCATTTTAACCATGACTGCCAGGTTTTCTTGATGTTTTGTTTTGCTTTTTGTTAGAAGACAGTTATTAACATTGATCCTGAAACCTTTTGTTGCCAAAATTGATGTACAGCTGGGGTATAAAATTTAAGACGGACACATTCCCCACGTACTGTAGAAGTTCTTTTGAACCTAATTTAATTATTTTTACATTTGTCACATGTATTTTTTATTTTTAGATATTATGACTAAGTAGTGGCAAATTGAAGATTAGCTCTCAATCTCATCACGGATAAGATTCTAAAAAAAAAAAAAAAAGACTGCCGCTCATAACTGAAGCTTCCAGGTATCGTTATGGGATGTTGAGATGTTTTGAATATTACTGGAAAACTGGATCAGACTAAGCCATTCCCCAGGCTGCTGCTGTTTAGTTTTAGACCTAACATTTGCGGAGAAATTATGGAGAGACTTGTAGAGGAAAATCTCACTCATTCTTTCTGTAGCACTTGCAAAAGAAATGTTATATTGGTCTCAAAGTGACACTGAGTCAGCAAGTTGATTTGTGGACGAGCTACCTAAACATGTCGGGGTCCCAGGACATAAAACCCAGTTGCTTCATCTCTTAGCAGCTGTGATTGAATACTGATTATGTGATTCTCTAAATTCTGTTGCAGTTCCTATGGGTATGATGAACATTGTTGCATTTGACAAAGCTGCCAACCCAGTATCAGTTTGTGTCAGTTGTCTGCCATGTCTCTTAGACCGACACACCTTTTGGTTTTTGTATGCTAACCTCTGTTGATAAAATGTTTATAAGATTTATTTTCGCCAAAGATATGCAATTGCATTATATATGGTATTACAAAATATTAATAAAAACCTGTTCTTGTTATTATTGTGAGAATCTTTTTGTTCTCGTCTGAGCTGCAGCTCAACTTTATCGTTTTATCACCGCAAATAAGACTTGACATGTTTTTTGCCCTCCAAACTCTCCTCCACAACAGAAGAATGCCATCACTTTACATTAGTAGCCTACACTGGCAAAATTTTTGATCAACATTGCCACCTGCTGTGAAGGCCACATTCTGGTGTATAATGCCTGTTCTTTAGAATAGCTACCTCTCCATGTGGCCGGTGTCTCAGTTTTCACATAACCACATTACAGCTGGCAAATATTTCCCACCATGTCCAGCAGTTCACTGCCACTTTGACTGCACAAGCTGTGCTCAGCACCACGTGTGGCGGCTTCACCACACTTTTCCTTTTTCTACTGCGCGTCTTTTTGAATGCACCAACATGGCAGGCTGCCAGAAATGCACCTCACATTAATGTAGATTCCAGGGCTGTGCCAGTGATGGATGCATCATCAGATGTCCTCTACGACACTCTTCGCTGTAAGTTAATTAGTCATGGAGGACTGTGGGATGAACACAGTGTGACCCTGAACAAGGGCTTGTCTGACTAGCCTCAGGCCCATTGGCACAGCTCTATTGTTCAATAGAGTCCTGTGTGTCGACTGGAAGAGGGGGGCTTCTCCCTACTGACTGCCTCAATTCAGCTGGAAATCAGAGCAGCATCACCTCCCCCCCTCCCACACGGCCCTAGCAACCACGCCACGCCGACAGTTGCCAGGCAACCAGACAATGCTGGAGCCACTGGCTGTGGTGTGCGTGTGAGAGAGTTTGTGTTTTGCCTGTATGCATTTAAGATCAGGAATAGAGAGACAGCAGCAGAGGAAATGTCTTTCTTTGGTACAAAACATTCAACCCTTTTGTGAATACTTAACATGTTACAAATTTAACAGCTGGTAGAATAGGAACTCCTCAGTTATGATTTCTTTAAAGAGATAGCAATACTCTGGTGAAAGTATAAAGAGATTATTATGGATTAGGTGAAATTAATCGTGTCGGATTTGAGCAGTGATGGCTGCATTAGCAACATGTCGTTTCACTTCTAGTCTAAACGAGGTCATGTGCGTTTTAAAGGGAACTCACTGAGACTATCCTTGACAGTGCTGCAACCCACTTGTTATTTTTTGACCTGGTTTTTGTTAATGCCACCCTTACCAGACTCAAACTCAGCAGTAAATAATTTATCAGTGACATCACATCTCTTAATTGTAAATGGCATTAAGTCTCTTACTGGAAAACGTAAGGAGAGGAAAGGATGAATAACAGTAATATAATTTTGCGTCATACTAAAATCACATCCAGACCTCCCTATAATTGCCCGTAAAATACAAATGTAAAATATATTAAAGTATCTTCTTAGGTTACAGTATATATCACCAGTGTAATGTTACAAAATGTACACATGTCTTGTTTATTTTTTTCCTTTTAATTTGATCCCCCCTCATTAATGAATTATTGATATCTACAGTGGTCATAGAAGTATTCAGTGTAAAAATACACTGCAAAATATATGCAAGTATTAAAATAATATAAGAGGTCTTTATGCAGATCTATCTATCTATCTATCTATCTATCTATCTACCTACCTACCTACCGACCTACCTACCTACCTTTCGAGACAGTCAAACACTAGACGGCGCCCTCTTTACAGCAGCTCACCACTTTTCTGTTTTCTGAACTCTGACCTCTGTACTTTAGTCTGTGGTTGGATCTCATTCGAGGGGGAGGATTTTGCGTGTTAGAAAATGAAAGTATTCGTTTAGATGAATTGATTATTAAAGCTGTTTCAGTAGCTTAGCAGCAGCTACACTCCCTCTCTGATACTATTTGCGGAGGCAGCGGTTACACGACTGCTGTCACATACACTGACCTAGCCTACATGTGTTACTCGGTGTCGGGATTTGTTTTGCTACATAGCTAGTTAGCTCTCGGCTAGTGAGCTAGCTAGCCGGCTCTGTCACAGCTAGCAGTGCTAACGTAAAGAAAGCATCGCTGTCAACTCGGAGTAACATCCTGCTTCAGAAATCATTGTAAATCAGATGACTAGCAACTGCTTCTTCCCCCGGGACTCATGACAGTTCATCTGTCACAATGTATCCGTGGTCGGTTGTACCAAGTAACGGACAGCGTGACAGCGAGCTAGCCCACCTGAGTTGCGTATAGCTCACCGTGTCAACCGTCAACATTTCAAGCAGCGGACAGTGTGAAGCCAGGGTTTGGACAAGCTAACCGGACAACCATCGGCTAACCGGGCTAGCTAGGATAACGTTATCTAGCATCAACGGTTAGCGACGGGATAACGTTTCCAACGACAATGGCTAACGTTACAGACCTGCAAACAAAATACAGCAAGCTGGCTCAGGAGTACTCAAAGGTAAAACACTCAACCATGTCTGCTCATTTTTATGTCGATAGATTAAAGTTGGTTGTCAATGATACACATACAGTTATGACGAGGAGGAAGGAGACAGAAGCTGCAGATGTGTTGTTAGCGTTAGCCATCTTTTAATGATTCATGCATCTAAAACCAGTGACAGATATTTTTCAGACTGATAGAGCAAAGAAATATACTCAGTCGTTGGGGCACACCTAGCCATAACTAATAAATAAATTCTACTATTGATAAGGTTATAATGTCTAATTTTTTTATCTAAAGGTTTAAGTTTGTTTGAGTATAGTCATATGATATTAACGTTGTGATACAAGACTTGATATTTCGTGGGATTGTGGTTCATGCTGCAATTTACTATTGTTTTGATTATGAAAATATCAGGCAGGTGTACATCTGGTGATACATGGCAGTTGCCACATTTTGACATTTCAAGTTGCCAATGAACACCCTGTGTTCAAGTGCTATAATGGCATTTTTTAAATTAGAGACAGTAAAGTGACAGTAAAGCCTGTGTTTTCTCTTGCAAGCTGTATGTGCCCTTTGTTTCTGTGTCAGCTGACATCACGGGGAGCATGTGCTGTTTCCTGTTCAACTCTGATCTTGCCGTTAGCCAAGAACCATATCCTGCTCAGAAAGTGCTGACTGCGTAACTGTCACACACACTGACATTGTGGTTAATATACAATTTTCTTACAGGTTGTTAACCACAGAGTAAAGAGCTTGAGTTATAAATATTTTGGTGTAGAATAGGATGTAAAAATAGTAACCATTTTTTGTGTAAAGCTAAATGTAAAAACAGACTGAAGATGTGGCATACATAGATACATAGATACATGTGTGCATCGCAGTCCTGACCAGTGATAATTTTTTATGTTATCTGTTATGTCTCAACATTTTTCACAGCTCCGTGCCCAGAATCAGGTGTTGAAGAAGGGAGTCGTGGATGAACAGGCCAACTCTGCCTCCCTAAAGGTAAAGTCATGTCTAAAAGCATACATTGAAAACAATACAATACAATACATTGCAAAATACAATACAGTACAATATATTGGAAACTGCTTGTAGTGATCACATCTGTCTGGGCTCAAATTGATCACTATAAGTGGATGATTATTATAACCAAATTTTTTTTCTTTTTCTTTATTTCTCATGCATATTACCATCTAATTGACATTTGTATGTTTATTACATGAATATAAGGGAATGAAATGGACAGCTTTGCGATTTATTTATTTAAAGATGGAATAACATAAATTGCCATGTTGCACTCTCCTGATCCAAGTCTGAATGGTCTGGGTGAAAGTATTACACTCCACTCATATAACATACCTGCTGCTCTGAGAGAGTGGGGATGATAATCACGCACCTTAAAAATCCAAAAATGGGAGCAGAGCTGGAACAGGAGGGCAAAATAAGAGAGACACACCCATGGAGAACATGTGTTGGGCGAGCAGGCAGGAATAGTTGTTATCTGTCATTACACATTTGCCCTTAAAAAAACAAGTCCAAATGAGTTAGAGGAGAGCCTAAACATATGACAGCTTGCAGTAGTAGGCTACAACAGTACTACAGTTTTTTTCCCCCATATGTTGTCATGTATGAAAAGACCCAAAATGAAGCTTTGTAAAGGAATGATTCTGCCTCAAGGTTTTGATCCATCCACATCACTGTTACAGTGGTCACAATAAGTGGTTTCCACTGTGATTATGATGAGAGCCATCTACATTTTCATATCTGCAAAACAAATTGAGATTCTGACTAGTACTTGTTTCTATTAGTTATGGTGCCTTTTCAATCAAAGCACAGAATCATTTCATCATGATTTCGAGGTAGTGATTTACTTGATGTGTTGGTTTGCAGGAAGACATTTACAGCGATGTTATGCTCGACATGTGTTTGTCACTGTACCCATTTTTCCCTCTACAGGAGCAGCTGAAGCAGAGGGACCAGAGCCTGAGGAAGCAGGAGCAGGAGATGGACAGTCTTAGCTTCAGGAACCAACAGCTGGCCAAGAGAGTGGAGCTGCTGCAAGAGGAGCTAGCTGTTAGTGAAGCCAAGGGCAAAAAGGGGAAGGTGATCATGAGGGGGAAATACAAGGGAGTGGCTACTCGGTTGTGTGGAGGATGTACAGGATGTATTGTGTATTTTTTGTAATAGACATAAATATAATTTGATAGCAAAAATATTAGTTTTAAGAGTGATTATAGAATTTGCAAACTCGGTAAAGATTGTAATTAAACACTAATGTTTGTGGTGCCAAACGATCAAGATTAACAACCCTTCTTCTATCTCCACTTCCTCCAGACTAAAGTGGATTCTCCCTCACAGCATGGCCTGCAGACCCAGAGTGTTTTTGATGAGGACCTGCAGAAAAAGATAGAAGAGAATGAGCGACTTCATATCCAAGTAAGCAGCCACGTCATGTTTATACTGGCCTGTCATTGTTCTGCATACACAGTATTTAAAGTTAATGCAGTGGGGGATGGCTCTGTTCTCTGCTGTGTCCTCGTTAGTTCTATGAAGCAGATGAGCAGCACAGGAGGCAGGAGGCTGAGCTGAGGGCACGACTGGAGGAGCTGGAGAAAGACTCCGAGCAGCACCAGGCTGTTGTGGACGGACTCACCACTAAGTACATGGAAACGATTGAGCGGCTGCAGAGCGACAAGGCACGCTTAGAGGTGAGGATTACCAGGAGGAGGATGAAAAACATTATGTGATTGTCAGTTTTAATTTAGAGTTCATTAAAATGTGTACTTTCATTTTGTCTGATAGGTGAAAGCACAGACTCTGGAGAGGGAGGCAAAAGAGTGCAGAATGCGAACAGAGGAGTGGTAAATCTAGTTTTTATTCACCTTTTGAGAATAATTAATCCACCATTGTGATGGAGGGACTTTTACAGGAAGTGCATATTGATATAGAGTTACAGTATAGTTCATGTACATGTTACTGGTAGAAAAAAGACACAAAAATATTTCTTTATATCTGTTAAAAAAAGATATCAGCATCCTTCATCTTGGTGAACTGGATTATGATTTACTGTCATACAAGTTAGCTACATAGAAATGTGTAACTGACATGTTTCTGACGTAAACTTTGGTTACACACTTTTGCACATTGTAGTTTTGACTCTTACACTTAATTTAAACTGAATATATTATGTTTTATTCATTGAAATACATCTTTTAATCTATTTATCTCCTGTTCTCTCTGTCTATGCAGTCAGCAGCAGTTGAGGCGGTGTCAGTCAGAGCTGAACAGACAAGTGAAACAAAGCAGCAGTGTAATCCAGGAGAAAGTGCCCTTCAATGACACCAGTGAGTATCACTCGGACAAAAACAATCTGCTACGGAGCAGACATCTATTTGAGAGCAACCGATGTCTGTGTCACTGATACTGTAACAACATTCTGCCCAGGAGTAAATAGTGTAATGCTACACCACACCGTAATATTGCGCGAAAGGAGGCAGGAGGCTAAACCATTTAAGCTGTGTTTTTTTGAGTCAGTATAGTTCAGTGGTGGTTTAACTTCTGTTTGTTTGGTCCTGCAGAATTTAGTGACTACAACAGCCTGAATGTACCACCACACAATCGAAGGCACCAGGTGAGTAAGAAAACAAACCCACATGTTACTGGGTGTATTGTTCAAATGGATTTACAGCCCCATGTCTTTGTTTCCCCAGTAATTATAACATTTATTCTTCTTGTTTGAATTTTCAGTGCCATACCCAGCTTGAAAAAAAAATTTTTTTAAGCTTTTTAGCATTCATAATCCTTTTTTTGAATATCCAAGGACACTTAGTATTCACAAATGTAGTGATAATGTCTTAGATACATGCCATATGTCACAGATTAATTCATACAGCTTTATGTCTTAGCAAGAGTAATATTACAGTGCTCTTTGGATTGTGTGTTCTCTCTGTGGATTCAGCTTAAGGCTCGGGATGTGGCAGGTCAGGCTCTGAGCTTTATTCAGGATTTGGTTGCTGCTCTGTTGAACTTCCACTCCTACACAGAGCAGAGAGTCCACATCTATCCCCGGGACTCCTCCATTGAGCCCATCTCCCCTCTTAACCAGAAGGTAAGGCAACAACACCACACAACACTGGAAAGACAGTCTGTCAAATATGATGTCAGTACTGGTCCTGCATGTGGAGTATTATTTACTGTACAAACTCAGAAGCATAATTCTTCTCTTAACCCAGTTCTCTCAGTACCTTCATGAGAATGCAGCCTATGTGCGCCCCCTGGAGGACAGCTTTTTGCAGTTACACCAAAGCATCACTGAGGACACGGTCACAGTGCTGGTGAGTGGTTTTTAGACAGGCATATTTGGTTACGTGTTTGAAATTAACCACTAATTGTATTTTTTTTTTTGTTTTTTGTTTTTTGTTGAATCGAAGGAGACTGTGGTCAAGCTGAAGAGCTTTGCTGATAATTTCTCCTCATACACTCACTTTCTGCAAAAGATTCTTCCCTACCAGCTGAAAAGGTCAGTGTGTGTGTGTGTGTGTGTGTGTGTGTGTGTGTGTGTGTGTGTGTGTGTGTGTGTGTGTGTGTGTGTGTGTGTGTGATTTTGATAGAGAAATGGAGTGGAGGAGGCTGATGACTATCTCCACTTTTCCTTTCAGCCTGGAAGAAGAGTGTGAGGCGACTCTTTGTACTGCTGCCCTTGCTGCGAAAAACCAGGAGCTGCAGAGTGACATGAAGAGAGTAACTTCTGTGTTTGAGAAACTGCAGAACTACATTAACCTTTTGGCCTTACCCAGTATGTTAACTTTTGAGCTCTTTTTGCCTGAAAGCTCTGTCACTTATCCCAGTTAATGCTAGATTGGAATGATTATTTTACAAATGCACGTAAATAATAATTTTTTCTTTAAGAAATATTGAATTTGACAATTTTTAAAGACCGAAAGACTCATTAAGTGATGATAAGGTATGCTTTTTTTTAATTGGTGCAATGTTTTCTCAGGTGTTCGGCAGGATGCCATGCCACAGAGCAGCACCTCAGCTGTCTTCACCCAGCTGGCTGCCTGCCTACACAGTCTTCACGATGCCGTTAAAGGTGAGCAGCACTGTGAGCCACTTTTGACCCACAACCATTAATGACCAGTGTGACACAGCAAGACTAGTCCCTCGTTAAACCACGTAACTGCTGTTGCCATTCATAAAAGTCATTCTCATTTTCTGTTTCCATAACAATGCACCACCTCCTCAGTTTTTGTAACGTTTTATAACATTTAAAAAAGCCAACACATATGGTGAGTACTTTTTTCTGTTTGTGATTGTGAGCAAATGTAAACTGTACTTGCTGTTTTACACTATGAAAATACTGAAGCTCAAAAAAAGGGCCAGATGCTTTAAATGCCTCTCCTGCTCTGCTGTTTTCTCCCTGTGTGTCCAGAGATGTCAAAGCACTACAACCAGAAGGCTGGCTTAGAGCAGGAGCTGCCCACCATCACCCAGAAGCTCTGTACCACCACAGAGTGCCTGCTGGGATCTCTGGGCTCGCTCACCAGCAGCACTGGCAAGGTACAACCAACAGAGGGCAGGCAGCAGTCAGGTTTATACAGTATATCCTGTGTCCAAGCAGTTTGTGTTGTTTGTTAGCTGTAATAAGTAAAGGCTTAATTGTGAGTAGCAGTGAGGTTTCACTGCAACTGGATCATGTTGGTAATTTGCCTCTAACGTGATAGCACTGAACGGCAGGACTCAGGTGGGCAGTGGTTAAATGTTCAAAGATGATGTCCAAATCACAGTTTGTACAGCTGCTCCCCAGGCAGAGTAAAGGGATAAATGATTTCTCTTTGTGAATCAAGTGAACCATTGGCTGAGATGTGTGCGCTGATGGGAGGCACAGTCCGGTGGGTTGCAGCGTCGAATAACATGCTGGCATGCATAGTGTGGAGTGAGCTGTATTGTGAGAGTGATCATCTCTCCAGGCAAAAGCTTAATTGCTCAGACATTTATTACCATGGACACTTTGTGGTGGAGTCATCTCTCTGCTGTAAACACACTGATTAATTTGTGGCGAAACAGAATGCAGAGAATCTGCGTTGAGAAATGTAAGCGTTAATTAGTGTTTTGTTCGCTGTCCCTTGAATGATATGTGATAATTATATCACTGTTTTGTTGCAGATTGCTACTTTCTTCAGCAACAACTTGGACTTCTTCACATCCTCAGGCTACAGTCCAAGAGGCGGCGCAGTCACCCTCAACCCCTTGCAAGCAGAGAGTATGCTGGCCAACAAAAAGAAAGCAGCCGCCTATATCCATGCCATCAAAAAGGTGAGTATCATCTTAAGTCTGCTGGGTTTACCCAGGTCTCAGCTGGTGACAAAAGGTGACCATTCTTTTGCAGTTAAAGCCCCCAGAGTTCGGATCTCTCTGCCTATAAAGAAAACATCAGTAACTAGTCTTTCAAATCGCTTCTTAAAACATTCTTTTATGAGGAAGTCTTTGTGAATATTTCATATGTTCCATCTGGTTTTATCTCCCTGCTATTTTATGTTCATGAATTATTGATAAATGTTAATAAATGACTGACTTTACTGCTTGTTTTGTTTTTCATTTCAGCCCAGGCCACAGTCTGTTCCATACAGAGAAGCCCTGTCCAACCGTCGTATACTAACCAGTTCCACTGAGAGCAGGGAGGGACTTACGCAACAGGTACGACCCTCGACGGAGACACTCTTTCTATAAACTATTTCCTTTGAATTGATTCATTTGAATATTTTGCTTTTCAGTTTGAAACGGCTTACTTCTGGCCAACAACCAGGCTGTAAATGTTATGTGGACAATATAACCATGAATGAGTCAGTGTGCCAGCCCTAAACTCAGTGGTGTAATAACAGAGATAAAGTCAAAATGGTTCCACATGCAATTATGTTTATTGTGGCTTTGTGTTTTTTGGGGCACATTACAATTAAAGACCAAACTGAAAATGCAGGAGAAGTAGAAACAGCACAACAACAGTGTAAATAGTTGCTGAAAAAATATAGAGGAATTGGAGAAGTTGGTCATAGAAGTACAGAACTGTACAGAAGTGCAGAAATCTGTCTCTCAATATGATACAATGCAGTCATGTGATATTTCGTGTGAAGTGCAAACAGCTGTTCTTTAGGGACAAGGTGTGAAAAATTGAGAATCTTGGCACTTGAGGCTGTGCTTTTTCTGTCCTGAGCAAGATTGAAATGTCTTTTTTTTTTTTTTTTAATTGTGTCCTTTGGTCCATATTAACCTTCTTAAGTTTGTCATTTCAGCACCAAGTTTACTGTTATAAGTACAAAGTCATAAAATGGATCTATAAAGGTCAAGCTTATTGGGCTTTTGCCATTTGAGCCTCCAGGTTTTGGAACAATCTAAAGAGCCTGGGATAGCAGAATCAGTCCCATCTTTCATATTGGCCTGTAAATTATTTTTCAGATTAAGCTTGTGAAATATTTTTGTTCTTTGTCATATAGTTTCCCCATTTCTTCCTAAACACTGTTGCCCTTTCATCTTCCAACCTCTGCTCAGCCCTCTTCCCATAAGCTCACTGTCCACTCCTCTCCTCTCCCCACTGGCCTCCCGCAGGTGCAGCAGAGCCAGGAGAAGATCGCTCGGCTGGAGCAGGAGAAGGAGCACTGGCTCCTGGAGGCCCAGCTGGGGAAGGTGCGGTTGGAAAAGGAGAACCAGCGCATTGCAGACCTGGAAGCGCAGCTTGCGGCAGCTCTAGGGGGAAGTCCGAGCTCGCAAACAGCTGCAGCCGGCACACTCGCACAGAACCATGAGGAAGCGGAGGCAGAGCAGAAAACTGCAGGGAAAGAGACTACGTTGTGCACCAGCCTGGTACAGTCACTCTACTGGCTGCTGTTTGTTTTCTGCTTGCAGAGAAAAATTTTTGCCCATAGCACCGGTGTCTGATTTGCCTCAACAAAAGGAGTATTATCATTCTTTTCTTGTAGCTCCCCTGCTTAATACGTTTTTGCTTGATAAAACTCAGACTTCCAATGTGCTGATGAGGCAGAATAGAAGAATACTGTTGTTTCTGCACGTCAGTACAGAGTCCACAACGTAGTCACAACCCAGGGCTGTTTGTCTCACTAGTCTCTGTACAACTTGCGTATTATGTTTTATTGTTGTTATCTTTTGTATGCCCAGTTTTTCCTAGTAGTATTAGAGGCCTGTCTGTGCTTGAAGTGGATTTTATAACATCTGTTCTATGATTCACTCTCTGACATGTTTCTCTGATCTGTATTGTTGTTTCCAGGTTGGCATGTTGTGCACCACACCTACAGTTGAACATGTGAGTTGCCATAGACTTAACCAATTGGCATATTTAAAAGAAGAGTTCCTAAATGTAAAAATATATTTTTTAAAAACATTTGAAATTATAATGCCTCGCAGCATGAGAGGAAAATCTTATCTAGCTGGATGTTGTGTCTGTGTCGTCAGGTGGGAGACGAGGAGTCTAGGGAGCAGCTGATAAAGACTCACTACATGACCAGAGTAGGAGAACTCACCACCCAGCTCCAGATTTCAGACAGCAAAGCTGTGCACTTTCACTCTGAGGTGAAACCCTTACTAGAATGTTTATCTCACTAACTGTCTTACAGCAAAAACCTTTTTCAGAGCACACAGCCTCTCTGACATGTCATCTGGGAACAGATATGGAAAGTCTTCTGACCGCGACTAGACGGCCAAATACATTTAGCACAGAACAGTCACTTGCATAGTTCCCTCCAGTATTTCTTCCTATAATCATACCGTAACCATATTTTGTCTGCTTCTTAAATTTGCTACAGAGCATAGAAACTGAAACAGAAGTAGCAACAGGAAGACAGTATCTCAGATATTTCAAAGTGTGTATTTACCTTTTAATGTTGTCCTAAAATTGCTCAAGGAAATATCTCCCTTTGTTGCAGCTTTTGAAACAGATCTCTGAACTGTGATAGACATACATTAAACCTATCAGGGGAAGAAGTTGTTTACTTTCCTTTTTCCTTTTCTAGTGTCGAGCTTTGGCCAAGAGATTAGCCATTGCAGAAAAATCACGGGAGACCTTGAGTGAGGAGGTCAAACTGGCCAATCAGAACATCACACGTTTGCAGGTAAAATGCAGTCTCTTTACCAAAGAGCTCTTCCAATCTAAGTGTAGACATCAGCCTCCTCAGAACTCATACTGGAACTGTGTTTTTTTTGTCATACAGGATGAGCTGGCTACGACTAAGAGGAGCTACGAAGACCAGCTCAGCATGATGAGCGACCACCTGTGTAGCATGAATGAGACTTTGAGCAAGCAGAGAGAGGAAATCGACACGCTTAAACTTGGCAGCAAGGTACAACACTTGAGACAGATTTCTGTTGCGTCTCCTTTTTTTTTTCTTTTTTTGTTCAACCCTCTTGCTCTCAGGTTTGTTTTTCAGCTGTCACATACTGTCAGTCTCCATGTAAATAAATCTAAAAGCTCCATCACTAAAGAGGAGTGATAAAAAACCACTGGCTTCAGGGAGTATGAAGGATCAATTCTGGCCTGGCAGTGAAATGTGACATTGTAAAGTTTCTGTCAGTTATGAGGTGAACCTGGAGGTCATCTGTGGTGTTGTGGTTGCTGCTGGGTCTGATGAAAAAAGCACCTGCTGGAACCATCTGAAAAAGTCATTAAGTTGAAGCCACAGAAGTGCAGAGGCCTGTTTTAAGCGCACATGTTCCTGCATGTATGCGCACACTTGACTGCATGTTGGGAAGCTGCAGGACAGAACACGTCTGGTGATCTTAAGGTGATGATTTCCTCTTGAAGGCCAGAAACCAGCCTCAGCACGTTTGCAGTTTTTGAAATAGAATGCAAATCGAATCTGAGCTGTCTCAGCTTACTGCACTTAAATGCAACATGGTGCTTTTAATTTTGTACCAATCCTGGACATGACTTGATATAAATTTTTGTTGAACTGAGCCGTATGTTTTTTTTGTTTCCTTTAGGGGAATGCCAAAAAGAACAAAGGTCGCTAGAACTGCCCTGAAAACACTGGCTCCATTTGGCATCACAAAGGGCACCTTCAGAGATGAGCTGGACTGTGGAGCCTCCCAGCAGCGTCCTGGTACCAACACTACCACTGTCACCAAACCACAGGATGGCTACATGAGCCTCAGATTCCTCCCCTGACAGACAGTGGCAGTACAAATGAACCGCATGGAGGCTGTAACATGTTTGTCTGAAGAAGCTTCTTTTTTTCCCCCTTTTCCTTGTCACAGCACCAGTTAATGAATAACATGATTTGCTAAAAATGCTTTCTGAAACTGTCGCGGAAGCTGCTGCTTGACCTTTTGGTCCAAGCTGGGTGGGAGAGAAACAGCTTTTCCCCCAAAAGGGACAGAGGAAGATAAACAGCTGACGACAGTTGAAGTTGGTAATACTCACTGAAGTCAAGACTTGAAGACCAAACCCTGTTGATCAGTGTGTGTACTTTTCCTGCTTAGCATACATGTGAGAGAAAATGAAGCTGCATTCTCACTGCTTATCTGTGGGAGCAGGTGAACAGAGCAAATGTTGGTGTGGCTGTATGTGTACAGAGTGTTGTGTCATTGTGTGACTTTGGCACCAGGCTTTACAACATGCGTGTATTGTTTTATGCTTGAATTTTTTTTTAGTTTTTTTTTAGGTCAAATTTGATATTATTTGTGCAAGTGGTTCCAAGGGGCCTGTATGTCTACATACAGCATAATACCCCTTTTAACACATGCATATATCACAAGCTTCTCTAATGAAGGGCTTTAAAACCTGAATGAACAACTAACAAAGACACACTTGAATTCATTCCTCATTTTGGAAAATTTTCAATCCTCTGGGAGTGGAGAAGAGAAAGGAAAAGAAATCTCCCTTGAAGCACTGATTAACTGTGTTCGCCGAGACAAAAAGGGTAGGATGGACAAGTCGGAGCTCGTAAAATGGTGTCAGTCTGTCTCTGTGAAGTTACTCTGTAACAAGTCCTTTTTATCACCAAAGTAATTGTGGATGTGCACTTGTGTGGCACACAAGTCTCTAAATTTTTGTTGTAATATGTATGGATAAAAAGGGTTAATATGAATATACACTCATTTCAAATCATGATGTAATTGTACTATATAATTTCTAAAAAAATATATATATATACAAAAAGGCATTTATTTAGAGGTTACAAATCTTTATTTTCCACAAAATTTGGAAAACTGAATCTGCAGCTAGTTTTTTTGTGTCTCGTATAAGACCTGATTCCTGGGAGGTGTCATAGAGGGGTTGGCACATACTGTAACTGGTGCTTAGACAACCTGATTCATTAGTCATGGCAGAGCACAGTTAAAGTTTACAGTAAAATAGAACCTCTCTGGCTAGTAGTGACACGAATAGCTGAAAGAAAAGCCTAGAAGTGATTGTGAGCATTTAAACATCCTGTTTTCCAGTCTACACCTGCCAGCAAACCTTTGATCACAAGGATTTGCCAATGCCCCCTGAACTGATAAAAAAAATACTTGTATTCTCACAGTGTAACCTGTTCAAAAGCACATATAAATATGTGAAACAAAATAAAGAGCTTGCTCAACACTTAAATCTGGTCCGTAATGATCCTTAAACTTTTAGTGCTGCATTTCTGGGAGTTAGAGGAGACTGGGATTTTAAATTGCCTATAACTTTTTTTTTTTTTTTTTTTATAACAGCCTGTAACACACCCTAACCACTGGGAATGAGGCAGCTCCATTAAACTGGACATATGAGAACTGGAAGATTACTGTTTGATGCCGTCACCTTGTTTTGGAAGGAAAAACATGTTGTGTCATTTTAGTTGAATTTGTGTTGCTTTCATGTACTCTTGGTACTCCAGAGGTCAAAGTAGTTAAAGTATAATAACCATCACTTGTTTGTTTATTCAAGAGCTTATAGCCAGGAATAACGAAAAATAAACCTTGAAAATTTTTCATTTTTCTTAAATCCAAGAAGCAGAGGAACAGTGGCCAAAAAATTCGTATATGTCCATATGCATAACAAGCAGGGTGGTGGAAAAGTGGCCCACCAAAATAAATAGTATATTGTTATATACTTCTCAAGTTAAGAAAAAGTTTTAAGTAGTTTTGTACAACTTAAGTCAATATAATAAAGGAATCTAGTGGTTCCTGTACAACACATTTTAATCTTCATGAGCCATATAGCCTGCTTCATGTTTTATTGGAGGTACTGTGATCCACCCTGTATTCACATCCATGCTTTTCCAAATCTGTGGACTAGCAGCTCTGCCATTAGGCCTAAGATGTAACTGAAAACTGGATATAGTTTGTATTACATGTAATGTTCACAATTGTAGTTTTTGATAGATACCCTACAAAACATCAAGTCTGAAATTAACTAAATTCAGCACAATAGAATTCATATTTGAAAACTCGGGAACTTTAAATCAACGCATGTGTACTTCCCTTATTTCCAACCATGGGAATATAAACAACAGGCCTATTATCTTAATTATTTACCTCAAAGGTGTGTGCTTGTTATGTGTTTACGCTACCAGTTGTGATGTGCGCGCGCATATCGTGATAGAGACATTTCCTGTAGTCATGAACGCAGCACCGCTCTGTTCATTCCTGCAGTGTCCCGTTGGAGGACAGTCTGTCTGAACTCGGGAGGGGAATCGCAGCGCTGTTAAAACTCCCAGGATTTACACTCTGCCATTTTGAGCAAAACCGGTCGACATCAGAGTTCAGACGCGTCCATCAAACAGAGGCCATGACCTGAATTAGTGAACCACCACTGTGTGTTTGTGAGTTTGTGAGTACTATTTTCTTTTGGTTGCACTCGCGTCTGTTTTTAAGTGAGCGGCGATAGTTCAGCTTACATTAGAAACTATCTAAGAACTGTTTTTGTTAAATGTTGACTCAGTCTGTTGTCAGTCGTGGCTCGGTTGTGACTGAATGGCGCATGTTGTGCTCCCTGAAACGTGTGCAAAGTAGAGTACGACTAAAGCAACGCTGGGTGACAACTTTACTCAGACTTCACATCAAAACAATGGCGTAGAAGTGATCCCAGAAGCGGGCCTCCGTGTCCGGGACATGGGCCTGGCTCTGTTGTGGATGACAGCACGCTGGTACTGTTTTCTTTCTCCAGTTGCCATGGGCGGCAAAAAAATTATGTTGTTTACCGGTAACTCGTGTGTTTGTGACCCCATGCTGCAAGAATGCGTCCTAACAACAGTGCAACAGTGAATCAAGATGTGGTTCATTAAGAGGGATGCTCTTTATTTGCACATGTAGACATTTATTGGAAATGCAACTTTATATATGGACATTTTCATGTGCTACTTGTGAAAAATTGCAAATGTGTCCCTTTTCTTAACTGAGTTTGGCAGGAAACAACAGTTTTTTTTAGTCCGTTTTCAACATTGATAATGTCATAACTTTCAAAATGTAATGTTTGTTGAACAGTGTTAGTCCAAATGACAGTTATGGGTTAATGGTAAATGATACAACGTAGTGTAACAATAGCAAGGGTGGAGGAGAGTCAGCAAACTGGCTCAGTAATGTCAGCTATTAAGCAGTATCTAGCTAAAGTTTGTTAACATTAGCTAACTTTTAGCAACCAAAAGCTAGCAGACGGAGTTAGTAAGGCTGTACCAGTAAAACCCCCTGAGTGTTTTGAATTGAGCAACTTTTCCACTTTTGTGTTAGTACTTGTCTCAAAAGTTAAAGTGGCACTGTAAGAGTACTATAAAATACATATGAAGTTTATTGTTAGTTTGTCCCTAAATGAATGCGATCAAAATGAATCACTACTACTTGAGAAAACTGCAGTGCAACAGTGGAAAAGCACAGTAAGTGCTTGATTGAGCTACTGACACAAACCTCCCCCATTCATTCCTGCTCATGTTTTTTTCCCTCTAGTCTTGCTTTTCTGAACTGGAACAAATCTCTATAATAAATGCAGTGAACCCTGTAATAACAGCATATACCTAACATAACATTGATTTATTCCGTTTGTTCAAGGTGTGAGGAATCAAAACAAAACCGGAGCGGCACCTCCTCTGCTTTGTTTGACGGGAGGACAGAGCTCACTTTGCAGGCAGTGCCACTGGAAATGGGTCATCCCATTTTCAGCTCTGCACTAGATTACACAGTCATTGTGGTCACAACAGTAGTACTCTCCAGTCAAATTAAACTGAGAAAATGTCTTGTTTTTGCTTTCCTTGGAGAAGTATATAAATAATCTACTCAATAGTGTGTGTGTGTACAGTAAATATGAAGTGAATCCAACAGGAACTTATCTCGCTTCTTCAGGAAGCATCTGTCTTCTGAGTTAAAGTTCAAATTGTTTTTCTTTTAATTCAGCAGTTTTATTCTTGAACCACAATAGTTTTCTCTCAGTCATCATTTGTCAGTAAATGACCCCCCCCCCCCCAAAGAAATTGGTCCATTGATCTGTCAAGGTCATATTAGAATAATATAATTTGTTTTCTCATATCCTGATGAGATGGTTTCAGCTCGTGATTGCTGTTCCTCTTTGTGGATTGCAGTTTCTCTATGTTTGTAATAAGTTCTCATGATCTCCCACTAGACTCATTCAGAGTGCAGTTTTCGTGGGCTGGCATATCAAAGTGCTGACTGGCCTCTTCTAAAGCCGACAAATGCTGTTATTTTGCAACATATTATGACGCAGTTTGACCCAATAGTTATGATTTAGTGACTTCAGACTTTAAGTGTTTGTCCATGAGGCGTGAATGGTATTTTTCCTTCCCCGGGTTTAGCAAGTGTAGTAATTTGTTTAAGTATAGTAATAATCAGCGATGATAAACCTGAGGTACTGCATGGGATTAGCCTACTCTTTGCCTCAGTTGCAGATCTGCAATAAAACCGGGAACATACTTGTATAATATTCGTAAGAGGAAGTTTACAATTCTTGCAATGATTAATTAGTTAATTCTTCAGGCTTCTTGTTTATACAGTACCTAAATACTATAATAAGCACATCCTTATTCCCAGGCTCTCTCCTTGTCAATTTTGACAGTGATAAATAACCAGACGAAGCAGAAGGTGTGACCTGTAAATCTAGTGCGTTTTTGAAATGTGGTAAATTGACATTAAGATAATATTTGTTGTCAGTTCACACGGATATAGCAGGCTGGTATTTCCTGTGTGCAAAGCTGCTTGTCCCAGAGGAATGTGTGGAATGTATTCTTTTGTCCTCTGTAGATTTAGCAGCAGTCTCATTTCTGTACTGCCTGCTAGAGAGCCCGGGGAGAGACGACAGACTGGAAATGAGTCTGAAAGACTGTCAGTAACCCCCGTGGAGAACTCATCCTTCTCTGTGCCCGTCTCTTTGAACCAAAGCTTCTATAAGTCGGAGAGGAGGGGATGAACTTGTGGAAATGTCTGTGTGCCCCTGCAAACATCCTCTCATTAGAAAGATGTTCTCCAGTGTTTGACTGAAGACTTGTCAATCCACTACTGAACCAGAGCCCCCACTTCCCTGTTTATTTATAGCTTAGAGGAACTTGCCACTGGATGTCTCCTTCATGCAAGTCATGGCTGTGATCTTGAAGGGAGGAGCGAGGCTATAATTGAGGCTTTCTGCTTTCAATTATGTTTTTCAAGATTTTTATGGGGATATGAGGCTTCAGTATTTTGAAAGTGGCTTCTCTGTGCCCTCAGAGCCGGATATTGGTGAGAGCAGAGCAGCCAGCACGTCAAAAGACAGATTGCGATTGAGTAGCTGGAAAATTAACTATGAGTTTGTATATAGATTACTATTTTAGTAGTTTACTTTTTGCTCAAGTAATATTCCCACGTTTTTTCAACATTTAATACCTACATTGAAACATGTTCTGTAGCTCTAATATCAGATGGGATGAAACATTCATTTCCCAGAGGTGCTTTACCCATTACCAGCTTTGTTCCTTTTCAGAAGCTTCATGCAGCACCAGTTTCTGTGCCACATTATACCTGCTTCTCACAGCTGACTTCATGCTGCTTAATGAGGCAGGATCTTCGCCGCCATGGCGAACTTCTCTCACACACATTTTAGAGCAGGCTTGCTATGAAATATTTAGACTTTGCTCATTTCAAAGCACAGTATGTCTAAAATACTACACTTTACCTCTTCAATTTGCATTACAAAACCTTTGAACGTCCAAAACTTCTGAACTTTAACTCCTTTTGAAAACAGCAACATTTTCTTCTCCCTAAACCTTTTTTCTTGATCCCCCCTGCTTTTTTTAAATACTCCTCTGCTCCAGTAGAAGTTTTTGAAAACCTTCATCACAATCCTGAGAGAAACCCCAGTGTCAATTTTTCCAGATTTTTCAACTGTTATGTGGATTTGGATTAGATTACCAGCTCTCTAGAGAGTTGTCCTTACTAATCCTTGTTTTTCAAAGTTTGAATAGAAGAATAGATTTTGCATCTCGCTACTGCTTTATCAGCCTAACCATGTATCAAGATATCAAGAGTGATACTCCTCGCTTCAACCTGACAGAACAAATCACTGTATTAAATAACTGCAGCAAAATCAAAATGTGAATGTTTAAGAATTCCCAGGAGCCCTATATCACCATGAAAGATATTTTAGTCAAA